TCAGCAGGCTGGGTCTGGGCCCGGCGGTGGCTCTGGGAAGGGACAGTTCCGCCATCTTCTCGGGGACAGGAAAGCAGAGGGGTTGTCTCCTGGGTAGACGGTGGGAAGATGCCTTTCCAGGGCGGCGGGCTGGGCCTCTCCCGGTATTTTTACTAATAAACCCGAGAGTTACATCGCTGAGGAGCCTGGAGCTGGTGCCACCACCTTCTTCCGACGAGAACACAGACGCTCCTGGAGGCTGACGGGGTTGCCAAGCCCCCGCCGTGCATCTCTTCTCTGTCCTGTTTGCCTGGAGCCCCGCCTGCTGCCATCCTCCGGCCTCTGCCCAGGCCTCCTTCGTCCTTCTCTGTCATCCACCTGTGTGCCCGACCCCAGAGCGCTGCTCACGTGAGCCCGTGGTGGGTGAGCATCCAGAGAGCCCGCCTGGGGTGTCCGGTGTCCCTGCTCCCGTCGGGGCTTGCAGAGCCACCCAGGGAGGCCGCTGCTCTCTGACCGAGGGGTCAAAGGGTGAAGCTCTGTTTACCAAGTCACCAAAATAACTTTCTCGATAGCATCTAGCCCATCACGCAGGAGGCCGGTGTATGAATAATTAATCAGTCATGGAAACATGAAACACAGCGAAGGCTTTGTCGATTCCTGAACAGCGTTTTAGGTTTGCTGGTCAGTTATGAGTGACCATGTAACCCCTGTCCAGCTGGGGAAGGAACCGGATCCAGAGCTGGGGGCCGGTGAGCCTCGCTGGACTCACCCTCAGGCTGGGACTCAGACAGGGTGGATTTTGCTCTGCATGGGTCCCAGGGACTCCCCTTAATTAGGGCGCTTGGGGATTAGGCTCAGTGTTGCCCCGTAGACCACGGCAGATACCGTTCTGTCGTCCTGACAGGTGGGAGCTAAAACCACAGAATGAGCGCAGTTGCTTCTTGTCCGATGGTTAGAATCAGCATCCAGAGTCAGGCTCTTACAGTTTTCGTTTTATGAAGTCTCCCCCCTGGGCTCGTGGGGGTGGCTGAGTGCCCAGCACTGTGAGACTCAGGCCCTGGGGGGCTCGACTCCTGGCACAAACTGTGACTCCTGTTATGCACTGTCCACAGCATGTGTATGTTCCCCACAGCTTCGTTCCACTTTTCATCCAGCCTACAGCCAAGGCAGCACTATTAACCTGGAAAGCCAGGGTTTCACAAAAGCCAGGGAGGTCGCTATCACTGAAGGAAATCACTATTTCATGGCAAACCCGAGGTCCACCTTGGAGCCAGGCGTCCGAGACCCAGAGCAGCTTCAGTTCTGCTCAGGGCCCTGCATGGGGGCCGAGGCCGGGCAGTGGCTTTAAAATGCAGGTCTGAACCCAGCCAGACACCCGCCCCGCCCCCAGCCTGCAGCCACATGCTGCTGACCTGCCTGGGGCGCGGATTAATTTTTCATGGGTCGGCCTCGGCCGCTGGGCATCTGCTCTCTACTCTTTCACAGTGTCCGGGCAGGTGGTCGGCTCCTTCCTGGGCTACCTCGCCCGCGAGCCCGAGGATGCGCCCTCGTGTGGGGCCTCGTTGTTGCTGTCAGGCACTCGTGAGGACTTGGCGTGTTCTCTCCTCCCTCCTGCAAAGCCGAGTGGCTGTGAGTGGCGAGGAGGAGGCCGGTGACGATAATGAGGAATGGGGCGAGGGCCGGTGGGCCATGACCTTCACCCAGAGCCCCGGCTTTCACCTTTGACTGCTGCGTTCAGAGGCTGTTCTGTGTGTGAGGGAGGAGCCCCGGGTGGGGGGATGTCACCCTCCTGAGTTGCTGTTACATAACTGTCCCTGAGCCGCTGTGGGCTGTGGCGCCCCGAGTGCCATCGGCCTGGGCCTGGTCCCGGGTCCGGGTCGCTGGGCACGCTATAGCAGTGGCTGGCCATGGCCTCACCTCTCGTGGGGAACACGGGGCCCTGGTCCGGATACAGCACTTTGCTCTGTGTCGGCACAGAGACGGGCGCACAATCGCCCCTTGACCAGCTGCTCGGTGGCCGTCCCTCACAGCACTCGGTGCCAGGGGAGGAGCAGCTGATGGCAGACTGGTGTCCGGCCTGTGGGCGATGGGCATCTGGCCGGCATTGCCTACGGACCAGTGCGGGAGCCCCTGTGAGGTCTCCGGGGCCCAGCACAGGTGCCGGCCACTGTGCCGGCCCTGCCCTGACTCAGGGATGGCAAGCACCAGGCCAAGCATGGCTTCCAGAAGGCTCCCCTGTGTCCACCCTGCACATGGGAGTGGCCCGCCAGCCCTCATCCTGGGGCAGTTAATTACAGTCTCGCCCTCCGACGACTCCGGGGGCACAGCTGTCATGACTTCTGACCGCACCAGCTTTGCATTTCAGGGCTCCTGGGCCTCCGCCCCGCCAGGTCCACCCTCCCGCCCTGCGTGGCGTTGTCTTTAGGCCCACGTGTGAGCCGGGCAGCTGTGGCATTGGGGGGAGTGGCCTTGTGAGGAGGCACCACCTGGCCTCACCCGGCCACAGAGGCCCCTGTGTCCCGAGCATCTGGTCTGTTTCAGGTGCCCCAGGGCTATCCCGCCTGCCAGAGAATGACTTCTCATTCTTTTATTTTGTGTCTAGAAATTTCCATGTGCCTCAGGGAAAGCTCAGGAAAGTGGGGTCTGAGGAGACACCAGGCATCGGAACGAACCCTCGCTGCCCGCTGACAGCCCAGGAACAGGAATTGGATGGCCTGGGCCCTGGTGGCGACAGCGTGGCCAGGGCCCGAGCCATAGAGACAGGCGGACATTTCCTCTTAAAATCCCGTCACCGCCTTCCATGTGGAAGCCACGTCCCATCC